GTTTTTAGTATGTTTTGATATGTTATTAGTTCACCTGATTTTTCGAGACCTCAAAATGTTCCGTAGTAACGTAGTTGTGTGAGTTTTGTCAACTCGAACTGGCCAAATTGGTAAAAATAAAAAATGAGAAGACTAAAAGGTAAATTTAAAATTAAAAGAATAATTAGAATAATATACTTAGGGCATATTTGTTTTTGATTCTCAAATTCTACAGTAAATCAATTCTCATTTTTAACTACACATTCTTCAATAAAATAATATTTTCCATCACATCAATAAATTTTTTTTCTTTTTCAATCACACATTTCCCATCATATCACTATTCAAAAATTCTCATTTTTAACTACACATTTTTCAATAAAATAATATTTTTCATCACATCAATAATTTTTTCTTATTTTTCAATCACACATTTTCCATCATATCACTATTCAAAAATCAATTATTCCCCCAAAAATTCCTACCAAACAAGCACTTAAAATATAATGATGCATCTACTTTGAACAGTGAATTTAAACATATAAAACGGTGATGCAAGGGGTTATTGTCATGGGTAACAACAAACTTGTCGGGTAGTTAGTATTGGTAGAGTTAGATTGAAACTAGTGGATGAAACATGTAGAACACTTGATCATGTTCGATATATTCCAAACTTAAAGAAAAATCTCATTTAGTTGAGTACTCTTAATTCAAAATGGTACTCGTTCTCTGGAGGAAGTGAAATTTTGAGGGTTCAAAAGGGTGTTCGTGTTGTATTGAAGGGGCGGAAGAGGTCCCAATTATACATCTTGCAAGGTCGAAGCATAATTTGTGAAGAAAAATGGGGCCCACCTTTTTTTAAAACAGGTGGGCCCTCCACCATTGTGAAGGGTCGGTGAAGGGGGTTGTCAACCCCCTGGTACAAACATCATTTCCCTTATCAATTTAACGGAGAGCGACGCCCATGAAACTATGGGCCACTGGCAACTAGCTAATTGAGAGTGGTGCCCAGGCATACAGACATAGAACTAGATTTACTTGCCAGAATATCAAGTGAAGAATCATGCATCTTCCAATCTGAAATCGGAGATTGTAGGCAGTGACGGATTTAGGATTTTAAGTCAGCACGAGAGGCCGTTGATCATCGATCGTTGACAGCAATAAAATATTAAAAGCCTTGTTTGATGCCTTTTTTTTTTGTGCAAAAAATGCATTTTAGAATAATGATTTGATGGAGAATGTGTGATTAAAAATAAGGAAAAATTTTGAATTTGCATTTAATATTATTTTATTGAAAAATATGTGGTTGAAAAGAAAAGAGAAAAATGCATTTTGAAAAAAAGGAAATCAAACAAGGTCTAAAATTTAAATATAACAATTATTTTGTTCAAACCGAACATATAAAATTCTGTTGTAGGAATTAGCAATATTCATCAAATGATATTGTCGTCAAGTTTTGTATAATTCAAAGGAAGAGCAGGAGTTTGAATTTTTATAATTGCATTAAAACCGCTAAAATGTAATATATATTATTCTGATAAACTTAGTGTCAAAATTTAACAAGTGCCATAATCGTCAAGCTTTCAATAATTCTAAGGAGAGGTCGGATACGAAACCACGCCTTCTAATATAAATATGCAAGTTCCTAGCTAGCTGAGCTACAAGAAGTGTTTCAAAATGAAATGAATTATCTGTTATATAATCTAAAAAAATTATCTATTATCAACAAAAAAAAACTGTTTCCGGCTGATCCAACACGCGCGGCCGCTGGGACTCGTCGGGTGCCGAATCCACCACTGATTGTAGGACACCAAATAAACCCCTAGATGAAGAGAAAATGTCTCCTTCCTTTCAGTGAACCACGGGGAAAACTGAGTAGTGTTAACCTCATTCTGTGCACCGTAAATATGGACAGTAGATACCGACCTACTCATGTTCTCTAGAGCTCATTCCCACACGCGTAGAACGATAGTCAATCGACAACAAAATAGGGTTAGGAATTGGGAGATGCTTTATAGTACGAGATAAAGATGTTTGGGCTCCGACGAAACATATGAGAAATATAATACGATAATAAACGACCAACTAAGAGTTAAACTGACAATCAAGATCGCACCTCAAACACTAAATACTCAATATTAATCAGAAAGAAAGAGAAATATGGCTTGAGAATATCTTTTCATTATCTCCAAATGACACAAAGGAGGGATATTTATAGTTTTATATGTGAAATAGTCGTCATTGGATGAGAGGAAACGTGGCTTCATCTCCTTTATTGAAGTATCATATCTTAAGTATCAATTTTGACTCCACTAGCCCGTGGCACATTAAATGTCCCAAAAAGGAGGCCACCCCCATAACCTATTCTGATAATATGACTTTTTTACTCATTACAACAGTTCAATCAATCATTCTAAAATGATTTCATAAATTCAAGATTTTCAAACGTGGATCATCACCAGCCTTAATTGAGCCTCGGATTGGACATCGTCACTTCGGCAAAAAATCTTCATTTGGACCTCAGATTTGTCTTTAGCATAGAGGCTTCGGAAGGGGCCAACTTCATGAGTTGCTTCGGTATGAGTGGGTTTCGGCGGGTTGAATTATCTGGGCTTTGATAGATCATATTCCTCGTCGGGTGCCACATGGTTACAGCGAAAGGTGCTTCGATGGGTCAGAGCCACGTGGGAGCGTATGTGGGGAAGCATAACAAGTGGTTTGCTTGTGAAGCTGTTTTCATGGATCTTGGCTTCTATATTCGGTGGGTCTCAGGGACTTTTAAATGCCCCCATTTTGTGTTCAAGGGAGATCTAAGCGCTATTTCTACTTTATAGTTTGATAACATTGAGCTGCTAAATTAACTTTGTGAAATAGTTGCAACAATCAGGAATCAGACGACCAATTCTTTTAAATTTTTTATAATACAGACATATATCAAGTACAGTTTTTAGTCGATGGTTAATTCTCCAATGAAGCATAGAGGGATTTTGCAATATACTTTTTCACAGCATTGTGTAATTCCTCGAATACAATACGAAGGAAAATTGGATAAATCATGACAGATCTAAGTAACCAAGGGTTTCAGGAGTTGGACTAGTGAATTGCAATTTCATGGCATACAGAACTTGAGATGCTATGTGTACATGCAACAGGCTAATCTGACGACTCAGGATAACTGGTTCTAGTATGACCAAGGAAGAGAGAAAAAACCATCAGCCTTAATGCAAACATGTGATCAATGCACAAATGGCGAATACATCTGATATAGGACATATTGTTGAATTGATGGAAGAAGGAAAAAAGTATTAGTGCAGAGAGAACATTTGAATTTTGATTTGAGCCCATAATACCATTCCGGAAAGAGGACTACTATACGAGTAAAACTCATCGCTATGCCATGACGTATGATATATTTTGACTATTCGAGTTCGTTTAGGACTTGAAAATTGTTTTTTAAAGTTTTAGTGTTATTTTTATCATTTAGTTTATTTCAAATTCATTTTTAATTTTAGTCCTACTAAACTAGGTTTTCTTGTAAACTCTTATAAACAAAAGGGTTTTCTCATTGTTTTTTATCACCTTACACTAACAAAATTCACAAGTTTAATTTTTCATAATTTGGTGAATTCCAAAATTTGCGTTCTTAAAGTTTTCGCTTGAATTCCTTGTTTCGCGCTGTGTCAATATCTAGTCAAGAATTGCTTTATTTTATAACTAAACAGGGTCATCGTCGTCAGAATATATCAAAGGACGTAAGCCATTCGATATACATGGGCATCATGAGAGATGTAGAAAACAATTCTAAGTACAATCACACATCAAAGTATCCAATAATGCCTACGTTCATCCCCCTTTAATGAGAATAATGTATAACTATCCCTACATTTCATTTCCTTTACTGCATAAGATCCAGAATATTCATCTCCTTTGTGAACACAGGAACCTCACCTCTCATTATCCTCCAAGGTCTGCCATAAAACTTTGGGGCACAGCTTGGCCAGGGTGCTCTTCCCAATATTTCCCCTGAACAATTTAGATTCTTATAACATACTGCAAGATATGGCTTTCATGTGATAAAAATGAAAAAAATTGATAAATGTTACACGGTGCTGTTGAAGGAAAAGAACAAAAGAAGTTCACACTTGATAATGATGGAAGTAGATCCCTCCGTACCAACTACAGAGTGCAAGAGATAACTCGCCAACTGCCAACTACCTACTGACTAAATGCATACTCCTGCAGAAGTAAATTCTCAAATAAGGCAACACAAGAGAGGCAATATCTATTATTTAATTGAATTAATATTCTAATAAATTAAATAAAAGAATCCGTAGATTCAAGTGTTGGTGATTTGTTGATCACGAGGAGTTGTGATTGTGAGATACAAATTACATATGATCGAATCTTAAATCATCTGTGGTTGAAATAATAACGAGATATAGATATCGTTATTACGGATAGATCATCGCTGTGACATTCTTACTTATGAAGTAAGTAGCTGATCTCACAAGTTAAAGTATAGTGACACTTGAATGACCATGTGGATGTTTTGTTATAGAACAAAACATTGAAGACCCACTGGGAGATTCCACATGGATAACTATCTGAGTATTAGTGGTTAATCTCTAAGGTTCGGTAGTTGAATTGGTCTTTTGACTTGAGATCATTACAGTACCTTATATGAGGACAATCATACTTTGGTGGTGTTGGATGTTGCTCTGTCAAGGGTCGTTAATACAGCATCGTTCGAATATATCAAGAATCATATGAAGGTTGTAAATGATTAATAGAGGATTCATCACTCTTAGATAGTAAGAGATTATAAACTATATTTTATCCAGTTAAGTTGATAATGAAATCCTTGGTCAAGGTGAACTCATAAGTCGAAAAGGAGTTTTCGACTTATAGTGACTTAACACTGGGATAAAAGATATGATCGATAATTGAGATTGACACATATCCATATCTCATAATTGATTGATCATAATTGATTGAATCATATTGGTGCAATGATTATAATTTCACGGTAAACGAACAAGTTTGGTTTGTCACATCACATGACATTTCCCATCACGTGTATTGCCCGACACATTGCTGATGTCAATTTGGGACGATAAATGTGAATTAGTGATAAATTAAAATGAGTGTTTTAATTTATCGATTTTGATTAGATCAAAATAAGAATTCACGTCGTTAGACACCGTGATCGGGAACCTAATGGGTCACACAGAAAAGAGAACCAGAAGAATGAGATTTACCAATTAATTAATTGACAAGTATTAAATAAATAATTAATTGGATTGTTTAAGATTCAAGTTTTGGTGATTTGTTAATCACAAGGAGTTGTGATTGTGAGATACAAATTACAAATGATCGAATCTTAAATCGTCCGTGGTCGAAGTAATAACGAGATACGGATATCGTTATTACGGATAGATCATCGCGTGTGACATTCTTACTTATGAAGTAAGTAGCTGATCTCACAAGTTAAAGTATAGTGACACTTGAATGACCATGTGGATGTTTTGTTATAAAACAAAACATTGAACATCTACTGGGAGATTCCACATGGATAACTATCTGAGTGTTAGTGGTTAATCTCTAAGGTTCGGTAGTTGAATTGGTCTTTTGACTTGAGATCATTATAGTACCTTATATGAGGACAATCATACTTTGGTGGTGTTGGATGTTGCTCTGTCAAGGGTCGTTAATACAGCATCGTTCGAATATATCAAGAATCATATGAAGGTTGTGAATGATTAATAGATGATTCATCACTCTTAGATAGTAAGAGATTATGAACTATATTTTATCCAGTTAAGTTGATAATGAAATCCTTGGTCAAGGTGAACTCATAAGTCGAAAATGAGTTTTCGACTTATAGTGACTTAACATTGGGATAAAAGATATGATCGATAATTGAGATTGACACATATCCATATCTCATAATTGATTGGATCATATTAGTGAAATGATTATAATTTCAGGGAAAACGAACAAGTTTGGTTTGTCACATCACATGACATTTCCCATCACATGTATTGCCCGACACATTGCTGATGTCAATTTGGGACGATAAATGTGAATTAGTGATAAATTAAAATGAGTGTTTTAATTTATCGATTTTGATTAGATCAAAATAAGAATTCACGTCGTTAGACACCGTGATCGGGAACCTAATGGGTCACACAGAAAAGAGAACCAGAAGAATGAGATTTACCAATTAATTAATTGACAAGTATTAAATAAATAATTAATTGGATTGTTTAATCAAAATAAGAATTCACGTTGTTATGCATCGTGATTGAGAATTTAATGGGTCACACATAAAAGAGAACCCAAAGAATGAGATTTACCAATTAATTAATTGACAAGTGTTGAATAAATAATTAATTGGATTGCTTATTAATCGGAATGAATTAATTAATTCATTCATGGACCGGATTTAATTAATTTGATTAATTAAATATCGGATAGGGTTAAGTTTAGAGATGGGCCAGCCCACTTGAGCTTATATTAATAGGCTGCTAGAGTTTGTAAATTATAGAGACTTTTTTTCATTATTCTTACTATTACAAGAAAAGAAAACTCAAGCCGTCATTCTTATTCTCTGTGTGGATCATTTGGAGGCTGAACTATTGGACAGCTTGGATTACAGATTGTGATCATTGGAGTTCGAGAATCAACAAAAGAGTTTGCAGAATTCATTAAAGGTATTATTCTCATCACAGTTTTTATCGAAACACATTGTAGATCCTTGGTGGGAATTGAAAATTGTTTTATTTTCGCTGTGCATGATTAAGTAAATTTTCAACAATAGCGTTGCTCAATAATAGCAGCGCCAATGACTCCAGTGTAAAAGGAAAAGACATAAATAGTGACGAGGGGAGAAGGATTTTGGTCGTCTGTATGGCTCAATCATGCCCCAAAGAATCGTCTTTTCCCACTTTGTGTGCAAATAATCCGCGTATTTCGTCCAAAGATAGCTCGCCATTTCACACCACCCCACACCTCTTCTCTACGGATTCTGAGTTGCAACAATCCGTTTGTTATCAATTCTAGTAACCCAGTGGAAAAAGTAACAAAGTTCCACCAATCACTTGGGCATTTCAACAAACAGGTTACAGCCACGTTCAGTATATATCACAACCTACTAACTCAAAATGCAATAAATTTCTCAGAGCATTATATTGTGATCAGAAGAATGAACAACAAGGTGTAAGGGAAATAACCTGTTCGTCGATGTAGCCATGTAGGTCATAAACGGTGGAGGAACTGGGAGACTAGTGTCACAAATGCGTTCGTTCAGCTCGTATTCACGCCACAAAATATTTCAAATGTTAGTAGAACGTCCCACCACAAATTTTATTTATTGCACCACATTTTAATTAAACTTAAAATTTTTAATTTTTCCTCGTTATAACATTTATTTTCGATTTTTCATATCTTTCTTATCCTCGAACTTTCTATTTGTTAATGCATTTTATATTTGATAAGAATTTTATATCAGAAGGTCCGTTGAAATGGCTTAAAACAAAATTTTCCATCATATTTTTAAAAAAATTAATAATAAAAAGTGCGGAAAAAAATAATTTTTCTTCATTTCAAAGCATGAAAATAAAATATTTTGATATAAATAATCGCCACTAATTAATGGTAGGTTGAACATAAGAATTTGACGAAAAAAAGTTAAGAAAATAATTGCTACAATAAGCAAAGATTGAAGAGCTTAACTACAATTAAAACATGGTGTATCAAATAAAATTTTTGATGGTAATATAATCAACTTTAGTAAAATGAATTAATCTATTTGTACAATTGTTGTTGACAATTGTGGATGACAACATTGATGTTGTCAAAATTTAGACAATTGATTTAAAAAGCAAGTTTTAAAAATGGATGAATGTGATATTGTCAAATATAAGTTTTCAACCAAAATTGTAAAAAAAAAAAAGATGAATAATGCTGCTTTACCAAAAAATAATTGATTTAATGATTGACATAATAGGTGTTAGCAAGATGTGATTTGATGAAAAAATTGATTGTGTTTTAAACAGTTCAATGATGGATTATCATGTAACATTATGTTAATGATTATATCTATATAACATGATTGGTTGCTAATACATAAAATTTAAATACCCATTAAATTTTTAGATACATGAACAAAAATAAATTCATCTATAATAACTCTAGATTTATGTAGATTAAGATTCATCAAGTCAAGATTTATTGAGTCTAGTTTAATGTTAATGTTAATTAATTGAGAATTAATAAAACGAAATTCATACACGAAGATGATTTTATAGTATTTATTATATGTCGACAAATGAAAAGTAAGGTATTATTGAAATAATTGAATTGTAGTAAGGTAAAAATCGTCAAAAAATGATTCTCAATTGACTTGATATTTAATATATTATAGATTTTTGGTTAAATTCGATGCTAGGTGCTTCAGTATTAGCTTATGCAAAGTTTAAACCGGGAAAAACTTGTAGGTGTTGCTTTAGAACTATTTTGCTTCATCTTATCTTATCTATGCTGGTGTTGCTATTCTGAGTATTCTGTCACCTCAAATTTTAGTCTTGGGGATGCAGACGTTGATTGAAACATTAAGCATATGAGCGAGAATTTTCATTTATGTTTACTGTCTGACCAGCATATCTATGATCATTCATTTTGATCGAATATATTTCGCCCTCGATGGCCGAGTACTTGGCCTCGTTAATACAATATAATGGAAATGAAATTTGTAAACATTGAAGTTTATGCATTACTAATGAAAGAAAAGTTAAGGAAGCAGTGAACAGAAGCTTCTCTTGAACTTCGACAAAGTAAAGCGAAAAACTGACAAATAAGGAAGGAAATTATAGAACACACAGAAGCGTCACTGTTACATGTAGCAGATTTAAGAAGTATGCCTCTCTTTCAAGAACACTTATTGCATGTTTTGCAAGGTGATTGGATAAACGCTCCGTTCAGGTGTGTCCGATACTGCATACTAAACATGTTCCTAGTGTCCATTAGCCATGCTCTTCATGGACTCAAACCTGAGACCCTTGTCTTCGAATTTAGTTTTGGTATAAAGGTCTAGGTAATCTTGGAAGCGGAAATGATTGGGTAATAACAGCTTTGGAGATGGGGAAATGATTGCATCGCCAGCAGGGTTGTAGAAGGTGGCAATGGAGAGTCTGCTTCCATCCTTCATAGCCATGACTCGGTGCAAAGCACTCTTGTAAGTGCCATTACTTAAAATTTCCAGTTGATCACCTGTATTTACGAAGATTCTGTTGTTTATTGAAGGCGGAATTTTCACCCATTTTCCGTCTTTGAAAAATTCAAGGCCAGGGATTTTATCATCTTGGAGCAGGAGAATAATACCACCAGCATCCGTATGCTCTCGGAGCCCTCTGATGAGTTCAGGGCGAGGGCATTCAGGATATATTGCCACTTTTGTCCCCACGGAAGGAACGCTGCCTCCTGCAAATCCTTCCATTATGGAATTCTTTTGTATACCCAGATTCTCACACATGAACTCTGAAAGCTTTTCGGCAAGCTTAATCAGTTGATCAATGTATGCTTCCATTGTTTTGCTGTATATATGTTTTATTATTAGTCCAAATGAGTTGGATGGTTGGTTATCTATATCATAATTTGAAGATATTGCGTTTGTATGCTTGGTATGCAGTATCGGACACGATTCAACAATATAATAAACATGATTTTTGCTGTTTGTTTTTTTTCCAATGGTGTCTAGTGCTGTATATTTTACCTTACTGAACGACCATCAAGGGTTAAAATAACTTACCTAAGATCTTTTGACAAGGTAAGGTCATTGATGTTGGAATTTGGACGATGCCAAACGAAGAAGGTGGTTTCCCAGTCTTTGCTGCCGATATACTCATTGTTTGCCAAACTCTTTGCTGTCTGTGAGTCATAGAATTTGCCTTTCATGTTCTCTTCATAATGTAGATTAACCAATTGCTTCACTTTCTCCATAAGCTCTTTATCAATTCCATGGTTCTCAATCTGCAGGTACATATCATATCATGAAGAACGCTTTCTTTAGAACGTGGTATGTTTGGTATACAGTACTAGATATAATTAAACATTAGAGTCAACTGTCTAATCTAACTAACTTACAAAACACGTTAAAAATGATTTCCAAGATATTTAAACAACATTTCATTACCATGAAAAAGCCCCACTTTCTGCATGCTTCGTGAAGAAGTGCCATTGCTTCACCTCTATTTTCACCCTCAATCTTACTGAAGTCGATCACAGGGATTTCCATCTCCTTTTTCTTCCTTTTTTTTGGCTAAGAAAATATAATAACTTTTTTCAGCTTCAAGTTAGGATGTGGAAGATATTTGAGTGAATGGATTATATATATAGGCCAGGAAGAGGGAAGTGATGGACTATTTTAATGATAAAATTAGGTCAGTTAGATTTGAAGAAGGGATAGTAGCAGGTGTCCCATGACCCTCATTGAAAGGAATTTTTTTTTTTTGGAAAATGCAAGTAGGGTTAATGAGTCCATGTTCAGATCATCCCTCAACCATGTGATTTGTAGGTAATTTTCAATTAATTGACTATGTATTAGATCTCTTTGTATTGAAGACACAATATCACCCTTTTAATCGAGGTGATTCAATTTGACATCTTCGTAGATATCTTATATTCATGTCCTGCCGCTATCTATTCATAAAAATTGTGCACGTGTTAGATCATTAATGAAAATCAATTTCAATCGAGAGGTACACGTTGAAGACTTAATTCAAATAAAAATAAATATGTTTTTATCATCTTCCTTTATTTTTTCTGCATATCCTAGTGAAGAATATCCCTCGTCAAGTCATTCAAGGCATGTGAGGCCTTCTTGAAATCTATATTTTACATGCCAACTAGACTTTGTATAATGCTTTTAGCGATGGGAACTTTACACAAAACTGAGATGTCAATTGCATTTCACTTGTTTTTCTAAAACCAGGGGCAGTCAGTCAGTGATTGAGTTTCCTTGACATGTCTTCCCTTGAGGCACGCAGATTTAATTGGGCAGAATTCTCGAGTAGGAATGAGTCGTGTTGATTCATGAAAGGTTAAAGATTAGAAAGAAAAAAGACTAAAAAGTAATGAAGGTCAAGGAAGAAACCTATAATCTAACATTTTTTAAAACCAGGGGCAGTATGTCACTGAATGAGGTTTCCTTCAGACAGCATGGAGTGGGGGGTGGGGTGGGGTGGGGTGAGGGGTAGTTGTCAAGGAACCCAATTGCTCTTCCAATGGGCGGTTTTATCCTTGGGTGGCATATTGTATTTGATTTGATTATGATTTTCAAACTAGGAGTCCTAGTCAGTGTCTTTTGGATCATCTGGTAGAACGATATACTCATCAATCATTGAAATGTATCTTTGCTTTCAAAATTTGTCAATGCCTATATGCACTGTGGTCAGCTTATGCTTTTTAGGGGCACACTTTTTATTCCCTTTAGCCTTTGGGGAATAAAGTTGTGCTTAGAAAATGATTTTTTCATCAAATAGGATATTCGCATGAAACCTTTTATGTTAATGAACTTTGATAAATAATCGCAATCCATAAATTTGGCTAATCTATTGGTTTAGAACCGTCAAAATCTCTACTGGGATGTGTTCGAATTTAGATATAGGGATTTTGAATGGTTTTAATAGATTTAAATCGTTACAGTTAGTTTGAGTTTAGGTTGCGATTATTTGTCAAATTCATTGAAGAGGAATTGTCGTCTTTAGAGGTCTATCAATGTTACTAAAATCCGACATGATCATTTTGTGGCGTGGCGTGGATTTTGATAGGTTAGAAAATAAAGTAGTTAATAAATTAACTTTTTTGGCCTTTTGATTTAGGTGTTCATTGTTGGAATGATGGTGTTTTTTTTTAAATCTAATTTGTAGTTCAAAATGATGTCAGTAAGGGTGTGTTTGAGTCACATTATTTTGGAAGAATGTATTTTGGAATAATTGATTGATGGAGAATGTGTGATTGAAAAAAAAAGGAAAAATTATTGATGTGATGGAAAATATTATTTTATTGAAAAATATGTGGTTGAAAATGAGTGAAATAATGAAAATGAGATTTTTAATGTGGCTCAAACATAAACTAAATAATACATCTGCTTTTGATTTAAAAAAGATCTTTTTAAAAAAATTGCTTTTTAGACCAAATCCCTTAAAGAGGGTAGAAAGTTGCAAGTGGAGAAGGTAAAGGTTATTGGAAAATGGGTCTCGACGTCTCGTATTGTCTATCTAAAAGCATATTTGAGCTCCATTATTTGTTCAAAATGCATTTTGAAATAATATTTTGATGGAGAATATATGGTTAAAAAATAAGAAAAAAATTTGGGTTTGCGTTTAATATTATTTTATTAAAGAATGTGTGATTGAAAATAACAAAGAGACGGTGTATAAAATAATAGGAACTAAATACGGGTTAAATTCCCCACGTTGATGCCTTAAATGGTGGGATTAGTTTTAGCCCATGTTTGGTATTGATTAAAATTAAAATTTTAATCTGAGTTAAAATCAATAATTAATTTTAATCACATATTTTAAGAGATCCACAACTTTTTAATTATACACTTTATCAATTAATTCTCACCAAACATGGGCTTAGTTTCAACTTAAAATTATATTCTCCAAAACCATCCATTCCACAACCACCACCTTTGAACGGAAAACATTTGGTGTAAATCTAGAAGCCTTTGAAAACCATTATTTCATTTAGAAATCTTTGTAAATATTGACTCTTCTCAATTGAAGCAAATGAAGGTACAATTTTGTTCTTAAACTTTCATCCCCTATTACAAAGATGAGCGAAATAAAACTCTATTGAAACAATTGGCTAAATAGCATTTTTCTCATCATGATTCATAATGCTCTAACGGTCCGTTTGATTGTGAAGGTGGAAAATGAGTGGAAAGAAAATGTTTTACAGGGAATTGATTTGCTTAGAAATTATTTTATTGGAAATTGTAATTAATTGTATTTGATTGTTATAATTTTCCACTTGGAAAATGTTGAAAATTTGGTGTCCGTTTGATTAGTTTTTCATGAAAATTGTCAAATAAAGTGATAATTTTTCTACTATTGGGTCTAAAATTTGTTACAATTGCCAAAAAGTTAAAAAAATAAAAAACAATAAAAAAATTGTCATCCCCGAATATCATTCGTTTGGCTTTGTTTTGTATGAAAATTGTCAATAAAATGGATAACTTTTTTTTACCATTGTATCTATAATTTTTTTTTATTGCCAAAAAAAAAATTAAAAAAAAAGCTGGAAAACAAAAAAACCAAAGGGAAAAGTGAAAACAAATTCACCAATTTGAAGGAAAATGAGGCGCGTGAATGGCGGCTGAGAAAATGGATTCCAGGTTAAATTATGACAATCAAACACCCATTTTTGTGTGGAAATGGAAAATATATTCCATTTTCATTGGAAAATGGAACTCATCAAA